ATTTCCATATTAATCAATATTTCCATTGTCCGATGTTTTGATACTTTGAGTTTCAGAAGCAACGTCTCAGGCAGCAATTTGAGCTGGCGCGCCGTGATATACACTGTCGCACAAAAGAAAGTTTACAACCACGATTGATGGTAGCTAGAGATGAATCAAACAAGAAGCGGTTATTCAAATGTGATGTATTTTTATACAGGTATCATAGGTGTGTTTTGACCGTATGTTTGCAGTGTTTTGGCAACTGTTTTCAGCCCTGAAACGTTTTGATGTAATAACTTTTGTAATGTTTTGGTTAAATCCAATTTTCAAGCGTACTCTTTCTTTTGAATTTTTTTTCATATCCTTTACGCCATCTATGTACCTTTTTCCTGAGCTGTTTTCTTGATCACGTCAATTCTGAACAGGAATATGTTGGAACTTTGGCAAACCTCCACAGTTAAATCATCTACATTCCCCTTTTTAAAGCTATTTCCTTAAGCCAGTTTCAACTATATGTCTTTTTTTCTCCCCAGACGAGGATCCAATTTCAACCTAAGTACACATGGAATCGCGGTTAAGTCTCTAAAAAGACCCAGGAAAAGATGAAACAGGTATAAAAATAGACACACAAAACACTGTTTCTTTGAATCTTCACAAAAAGTAAGCTTGGCTTCACCATAAGCATATTTGGTAAAATGTTTATGTTACTTAGGATTATTGAGTAGTTATGATACTGATCAATAGTGCAATCATTTTGGTTAAGATTTCATGATATGGATTGCCCACCGGCGCCCTCGTAAGCTTCACAAACATGTATTATAATATTAATTCTGCCAGCAGCCATTTAGCTCATTTTGCTAGCACCATCAATGAAAGGCACACAACATGACCACGATCGTGAATAGCATAGTTCCCGTGAGAGACGATAGTGTTATAGGTGATCCTCAAAGGATCGCGAATGACATCAGCGCTTTAGCATTTTGCGTTTAGGTACAGGTTCGAAAATCGAGGCTTTCCATTTAATACGAGGGGCGTTTAATAAGTTTTGCAACTTCAAAATGCAGTTATATTTTTCAATATAATCTCCAGTCACCTCAATACACTTATTCCATTTGTCCTTCAAGCCTTTAGTACCACTTTTATAGAAATCTGCAGATTGGCCCTCAGACCACGTCTCTGTGGCAGCCTTTTTGTCCTTGTCATCCTCGAAGCGTCTTCCACGTAGGGCAGATTTAAGTAATTATATTGATACCGATACGTTATCAGGACTATACAATTTACTTCATGTTTTTATTGAATATGCATTTTCTGTTCTAAATTGGTAACATAGAGAATAGTCAGTTCAAAACTGAAGTACTGATTGTTTTGTGTTTTGTGAACGAATGTCCTCGTAGCTGTTTGTTTGTGAATGTAATAGTGTCATAGCGACTGATTTACGACTACCATTGTCTGAAGTACATTTGATTGCAAAGGCTAATTACCCTGTAGCCATGACATGTATATGTCTCCGTAACTTAATTGTCATTATTTATAAGACACTAATCCCCGTTGTTAATCCTCACCAACATTTCATTGTATTTTGACTGTCAGTCAGCCTGGACTACCATATCACTTACCTTTAACTACTGCTTTTTATAGTATGGCATTTATTGCCCATGAACTGTGTTGGTTAATCACGCCCACATGTCCAATGTCCAAAGCAACGTCGTTGTCTCTTTGTCTGTCCATTGTTGTTCATTACTATATATGTGCTACCATTACACAGTTACTAGGGTGTTAGTCAGGCTTGGTATTCCGAGTGCTGGCATAGGGACGACCTCGAGCAGGATGTGCCGCTCGTAGGAAACGCCCTGAGGTGAGCTGGAGCTCCGCTCACCTCTTGTACGCCTGAGCTGGAAGGTCCGCTCATTGCTGTGTTTGTGTTGTCAGAGCAGGTATTCCGCTCATTGTGCAGTTGTTGTTTATTGTTAACATGTTGTGCATAAAGCGTTCCGATTTTGTCCTTTATTCACCCAAGAGCTAATTCCCCGTCAACATGCGCGTTGACAATAGTAAGTCGATCACTAGGTGAACCTCGCGCTCTTTCTATGTTAGTATCTTTACTTAATAATAGATATGTCGTTTAAGAAATCAATTAGCATCCCACAAACCGTCTCGCTGAACCAGAACATAATATTCATAGATGGTATTGTTGATTGTAGTCTCGCACCTACGCACTGTAACCTGACGACATGCTGCCTGCAATCTCGACGCGGAATCTAGTTAATAAAAAAGACGAAATACAGAGAAGTGTCCGTCGAGTAGATTGACCCGAGAAAAAATTACAGTGACAAAACCATTTCAATAATGATATGAAGTCCCTGCTAAAAGTCCATTTCACGACTCAGACTCTATTATAAGTATGTGTTTATGAATCACTATCAAATAGTGATGACACCAGGTGTTCGCGAAAACGTGAACATATCCTCCCCACCGGTGGCACCGCAACAAACACATGCAAGTCAAGTGTTCAACTGAACAACACGGTAACCACAATGGATTTTGAAAGTTTTCCAAAGGCCTTAAATGATCACGTTTTACCTGGATTCTTCATGCATCCTCCCACGCGGCATCGTTAAAGACTAAAATCTATTGGCGATTCCAACACACAATGGTATTCTGAAGAACTGATTGTTAAACCATAAATAATTAAGAATTGTCTTTTGAAATATATTGTATTTATGGAGGTAAAAAGGGTAAAAGCTTGTGTGCGTATTTACGAAAAGTGTACACACCGGATTATAAGTTTATACATTCATAAACGCAAAACATATTGAAGTCAATTCTTATGAATAAATACGTCGACAGTAATAACTTAACACTGATTATCGCCACACAAAAGTGTAAACGAGAAATGTATTTATTAACGATTACTTTGGATGCGATAATGAAGATCAGGCTGTGTAATTATGTCTATATGATTTTGTCCAGGACCTGCATTACATGTGGCCTACCTCACGCATCAACGCCAGGATCCTACGATTTTCTGTTCAAATCCCAGTTTATGGTTCTCTCCGATTATGTTTCTTGGTTTGTCAGCACCAGACGCGTGGTCGTGGGTTTCACCAAAGAGGTAAACGTCCTGCATTACTTTGGGCTCACCTCACACATCAAGCTGACACGCCATTATATTAATGATATAATGAGATACTGTTCAAAGCGGCGAAATTCACTCATTTACACAGGTGTTGTGGCCGTCATATACGAATGTTTTAACGAATTGGTTATTCATATAAATATTTGTATTTGCAAGCTGTCACAAGCTAAATTTATGATGTTGACACACTTGACTGCACATTGTGCATACGTTTGTCACAACACGTATTGTGCCTTAACATTATTATGGATATGTTTTGACTCGGAATTGATTGATGGAATACTTGAATGTGAATAACTCAATCCCTATTTCTGAACTGAAATAGGTTATGAAGAGGAAAATATTTCAGAGTTTTTTGTTTGTTTGTTTGTTTGTTGTTTAACGCCGCACTCAGCAATATTCCAGCTATATGACGGAGGACTGTAAATAATCGAGTCTGGACCAGACAATCCAGTGATTGATATCATGAGTATCGATCCACGCAATTGGGATACGAAGACATGCATCGACCTGGTCACCATGCCTGACTACCCGAATCCCGTATGTTGCCTTTTATGACAAGCATAGTCGCCTTTTACCGCAAGCATGGATGGCTGAAAACCTATTCTAACCCGGATCTTCGTGGGTTCGGAGTAGTATACATTCGAATATTTAGCTGTGACTAGAATCCACCACGGGGCAGAACTAAATCTAGAACGTGCTCTTTCATGTAACAAATAAATGCAATTGTATATACCTTGATCTTTTATTGCAAGCAGCTTTAAATAACTGGATATCTCGTATTTAGGGTTGAATAAGACAACAAAAAGGTTGCACTTTTCACAAAACCTTGGGGACACGAGGCCTAGGGGACGATCGTCACATTTATGTTGTATTCGTTGCTCTCACCTCAAGCTACACAAAGAGAACCGTGACACAACTGATGCTTAAATCTAACTAATGTATAACCCCTTCTACGCACAATGCCTCAATATACAAAGGGCCGATCCAAGAACAACTTAATGTTTTACTTATAAACGCTGAGACTTAAACAGGCCGAGGTGTCGATCACTGTGCGGCGAGTTAGACGATCGACAAATAAAACGGTAAAGCAGTCAACCCGGTGAAACAATCTACAAACAGAGAACTACTCCCCACTCCCGCCTTATGCTGTCAGTGAAAGATAGCAGGTGCTCTCTGATTTCAGTAAACTTGGGGAACATAGATAAGCTATACCTGTTAACGCTAAAGTTCACGATTATCCTGCTGTGGTTGAGACTTGAGAGGAAGGCAAGAAACATTATCCATAGAGCACAATCTTTGTGAGCCTCTCTAATTACTTGATGCACACAAAGCTTTGATATTTGAGTTTTGTGTCTAAGTATGTGTTGTAGCTACATGAATGTTGTTCCATGTGAAGGAAACTGCGGCAAATTAACTAAATACATGTTTACTGATACATGCACTTACCTCAATACCAGCACATACAGTTTGCTTCCAGATGACGCTACTAAAGTTATATGAAACAGTGCAATAAGTACTTGATAAATACGCTGTTGTTAATTGGTAAAGGGAAGCTGTTTAAATTGTTTGTGATATATCATGAAAGTATAGAACTAAACTTAAGTGACTTCAACGACTTCAGGTTACGCTTAGTCTAGTTCCCCAACTATTTATGCTGGCGATCTGGTCAGACTCGGTTGACAAAGGTAATGTAACTCTACGACGTGTATCGTTACACACAATAATGATCACGAATTGCCTTGTCCAGACTCGGCGTTAAACAAGCAAAAACACAAAAAACAAAGATTTAAACGTCAGGGTAATTGAAAACTCTTCATAAATGACCATTCTACTTGGAAATAACTTATAAGCAGAAAATCAGTGTATTAAACAAACTTACCTTTCTTTCAGTAAAACGTCATCCATGTTAATTTAAACAACATCCCATCAGGTGAGAATGAAGGCAAGCATCTGTCAGTATGTAACATTCTCATCGGTTGAGCCGTGGCGTTTCCTCTCGCTCATGTTATAATGATCCTGGTGGAAATGAGAGACCCACATATGAGGTTCCGAGCTAGGCTCTGTTACACGCCCATCTATTGATTTCTAAATATGCTTCTGACAGTCCTCTGCTCACTTTTTATCACTTCAGTGGAAAGGAATGCACTGGAGGTGGCGTTCAATGGTAGAAATAGTTTGGAGAGCTGAGTGGAACATTCGTGCTGGGCAAAGATTCCATTGGGCACACAGGACCGTTGTATCCCTTATTAGAGTATGGAAACAAATGCTCCCATAGTGATATGTAATTTTCAATCACATTCGCAGGTTAACATCCATTATGCATCAGACCAGTACACCTTCAGACCGTTATAAATTATATCATTTGTAATTATATGTTAAATTCTGGCTGTTGTTTAAAGGATCATTTCTTGATAATATATGTGATCCAATAATAGTATTGGAGTTCTTACATCACTGAAGATCGTCATTACATTTCTACACAGTAGCTTTTTTTTATAATGAAAAACGACTTCCAAACGACAACGTGAAACATATAAACTAGTTGATGTAGAACTAAACAATGTTTGCTTACCAGCCAGATAAGAATTGACAAACAATGTGTTAATAACGCTATTTCTAATTTTTTTTGAGGCAACTAAATCATTGGCAAGGATCGTTTACGACACATGTGGTCTCTTGCTCAGCATCAGAGGAAAATAGTGCAACCGAAGCTTCATTGACGAAAATAAAATTTCAACACAAATAGACAGATACAGCATTCATTATAAGAGGTAAATAAGTTGCGTGAGCAGGAATCAAAATCACCAAGTTACGATGACAACCAGAACGCAATAAGCACAATATACTATTACACGGTAGAACTATACTCCTTTTAAAAAGTAGGGGATCATGAAATATATAATTATGTTAATACCAAGTATAAGAACAAAGATCCCTGTTGACGACCAACATCCTTTTTATGCAAGAACGTTTTTGTCTGTAAAACTTAACACCAAAGCACATTCTATAGTATGCACGTGTCTCGCGCAGTAGCGCCACATACGTGCGTAGGGTGTCATTCCTGATTTTGACGCTTTCCATCGATGAAAGTCTACGGGCTTTTGGCATTCTGGAAACTGGCAGAAGCCAAAACTTTCAATGTTTCAGTCTGTGGAACAGGTACCAACAAACCCAAAATGTTGACGATCGACCCTGATCAGGGCGTCCAAGGTCAACAACAAGAGTACGGAAACCAGGCTCTCCGAAATCGAGCTCAAACGGCGAATCAGCTTTCATCAGTCTACTTGAGAACAAGTTATGGGTCTGACAATTAGGAATAGTCTACATGCAGCTCATCTCCATGTTTGACGGCCACGTGTTGTGCCGCTCCTTACAAATCACCATATTGTCAACCTTTGTCAATGGTGTACACTGGGACACATCGAAACTGGGAGAATCGTCGCTGGTCACGTGTCATGTTTTTGGATGAGTCCCGATTTCTTTGCATTTCCTTGATAGGCGTGGTCGTGTCTGTAAAACTTTCAAGGAAGGTCGATTAATCTGTGTGGACCATTATTTCTGTCAATCGTATAGATTCTGTTTATCATACAGTTGAGATTTACTTAATATTTTGAGTCATGTTCAAACCTTGGACATCCTTGTGCGGGAATTGATTTTAGATACACAGTTTCTCCAGAATTGACGTTTATGTAGCTTTAAAGTGTGTCTCGTTTGTCGCTTGTGAAGTTAATATCATTCAGGTTGTGTACGGAAGGATGTTCGCGGAAATATTTCAAAGCTTTCTTCGTGTTTTTCTGGCTTGTTTACAATCATTATTAAGCCATGGTATACTATATGTCAGGTTTTAGTTTTTCTTGTACATAGCGTTGGCCTTTGTAAAGTTCCAACTCGTTGAAGTGAATCTTAACACTATGTTCAGAGTTACACGGACAGTAACAGTTTGAAGATTAGTGTTAAGTGGAACAGGGCTATCGATTATGCCCTGCCTCATCAGGATAGAAAAAACGAGTGGTACAGACGGATATCAGTGAGTGAGTGAGTGAGTTGGGTTTAACGCCGCTTTTGATAGTATTACATTTATATCGCGGCGTGTCAACTTAATGTGGGAGGAAAGACCGAAGTGATGTAGGTCTCAGACGTTTACCACTTCGGTGAAACCGACGAGCACGGGTATGGTGCTGACAAACCTAGAAACATAATTTGGGCGAACCGGTATTCGAACCCACAATCAAAGGTTTCGCAAGGGACGCAACTCTGCACAGCGAATCGCGGCGCCATAGACGACTGGGCCACCCGGACGGTTATCAAATCGATGTTTACAAATTGAACTTTGTAATTCCATTGCATAATGTTTTGTGGAGTCTTGATGTTTCCACAGGAGATATATCACGTGAACGCGTGGAAGATGCTGTATTACTCCTATAAGTGCCATGTGGAGATTGAGTTACCTCCATGCCCAGAGGACCAAAGGAGCTATGGACCTCTATGAGGACCTCTACATTAGAGGTTGCCTTTGGTGGTGGTGTTTGCAGCTGTTCCTTTTGCTGCTTTTGCTTTAAAAATATCTTTCATCCTTTGTAATTTCTGGTTCTGGTTCAGGTTCTGATTTTTGAGTCTGGGACTCGACAGTTTTTTTCAGATTTTGGTTTTGGAGGTGTCACAGATTTAGGTACCACAGGTGTTTTTTTCTAGTGAAGCGCTTCTTCAAAGGAGGTTCATGTTTGATATTCAGTATTTGCATTTCACGTTGCCACAATGGGCAGGATTTAGAATAGGCCATATGGTCCTCACCGCAATTTGAACACTTCACATCCTTTCTGCAGTCAGTGGTCTCGTGCTTGTCAACATCGGGAGTAAAAAACAGCAGAGGCATGACAGGACTTTGATCAATGTCTAAATGCTTGGCAGGTGTAGCAACGGAGTGAATGGACACCTCCTACCCAATGTTACAATAACCAGCTTTAATCGACTGTGGAATCTTTAAACAGGCAAAAGTTGTCTGTTCAACCACATCATCCTTCTTGACAGAAAATCGCTCAACAGCTATGACAGACTGTTGGACAAGTTCTTGAAGGATTTGAAGGATTTGATTTTGGGTCATGTCGAACAGGCAGCATGCTCTGTCCCATTCAATGCCTTTTCCTGAGTTCAGTTTCTTGTGTTCAGAGACAGCAACCTTAATGTTGGGAAACTATTTTAATTTGTGCAGAAATACGGATTGCTGTTTCTAAGAACATTCTACAAGGAGAGAACCGGATCGAAGTTTGGAGATATTTGTAACCTCTCCAAAGATACCAGGGGGCATGGGTGGCCCAGTCGTCTAAGGCGCCGCGATTCGCTGTGCAGACTTGCGTCCCTTAGACACGACAGGAACCTATGATTGTGGGTTCGAAGCCCGGTTCGCCCCGATTATGTTTCTATGTTTGTCAGCACCATACCCGTGCTCGTGGGTTTCATCGAAGTGGTAAACGTCTGAGACCTGCATCACTTCGGGCTGTCCTCCCACATTAAGCTGACACGCCACGATATCACTGGAATACTGTTAAAAGCGGCATTAAACCCAACTCATTCACTCCAAAGATACCACCGATACATTTGGAGATTGCAAATGGATGTAATTTGATTGCTTCCGTGTCACATGCTTCAATAGCCAAAAACGAGGCCTGTAATAAGATCGAATGGATGTATTCTCGTCAGAAGAAGTATTGTCAGTATCTCTGTGTCTTTGTTTTGAACCAGGATGTTGGAAAGCGATGTCGAAAGCAAATGATTCAGCACCCCTTTTACCCCACACACTGTCAACAAGGACATTTTTATGCTGCAGCGGATCTCCAAGCTGCAAAGTCCGAGGATAAAAGGGTGTTATACACCAGCAAATTTGACATGGAGCGGTATAGCCATCTTCCGAATACAGAGTCAGGCCGGTTCGGCCCATGACAATCAATTGATAAATGAATTTATTTTAAAAATGCCAAATGTTTGTGCGAAATATTGTACTGGCGTGACATGACCAGCCTATTGATAGAATCGGGCCCGTCTGGGCAAAGTCTGGGCAAAGTTAGGGGTAAGGGGTGTGTTGTAAAAAGAACCCTATTGCCGGCTGCGGTGCCCTCAACAACCATACTACCTTTCTCTGCCAACCCAGGGACGCAAACTTACGGCAAATAGATTGTCCACTTTGGTCGCCTCTTACGACCAGCAATGGGGAGCAAGGACACATGCTTCCCCAGGTCCCTACGGGGTACGTTCAAATGAACGCCAAGCGTACAGTTCTGCCACTTATTGGTCTCATTCCCATGGAATTGTCATCATATCACGACTAGGTGGATCGCTGCCTACAATATCGATCTCAGGATTGTTTGGTCAAGATTCGATTACATACAGGTAGCCGCCATATAGCTGGGATATTGCTGAAACAAAGACTTAAACGTCAAAGTAAATGAATGAATCGTCATTAAAGGCTATCCTACTTGATATAACTAACTTATAAGCAGAAAAATCGATATATTAATCAAACATCTCACCTTTCTTTCAGTAAAACGTCATATTAGCTTGAACAACTCAGCAGGTGAAAAGTAACACTAAGTGACATTCTCTGCGGCTGAGCTGTGGTGTTTCCTCTCTGAGACGTTTATAGGACAGTCCTGGTGATAATGAGAGACCCATGGAGAAGCATGTGGAGTAGCTGTGTCTCACGCCCGGCTGTTGAAGTCCAAATATGTTACCAGCCGTCCTCTGCTCAATTTCTGTTAGTCCGGTGGAAAGGAATGTACGAGACTTGACGTTCAAAGATGGATTTAGTTGATACGCTTGTTTGTGTGGATACCGTTTTGAGGACTGATCATGAGTTGTAAATGCTTGCAGGGCGAAATTGTAACAGTGTGCACATGACCGTTGTATCACTGTCTTATTAAAATGAAAGGATACAATCAAATGATCAGATAGGGATATGTTATTTTCGCTCACATTCGACAGATTAACATTCATTATGCATGGAACCAGTACAATTTCCCCCTGTTATAAGTAATATCATGTGTTATACGTTAAATACTTTCTGTTGTTTGATGAAGCATTTCTTGATTTTATAACGATCCTATTATT